AGGAGTTGTAAGTTTGAAAAAAATTCTCTGTATTGCACCAAAATTTATAGATTGAAGTCCACACCTCAAAAATAACCAAAATCGAATAAAACGTATTCGAGTTATTTACAAAATTCAAAAAATTTTCACGAATTTTGAGGCCATCTAGCGGCCTAACGAAGCGATTTCGGATACAGGTGAATTAGCCTGAAATCCACAGCCCAAAAATACCTAATCAAAATCGATAAATACGTATTCGAGTTATTTACAAAATTCAAAAAAATTTCACAAACTTTGAGGCGATCTAGCGGCCAAACGAAACGATTTCGAATATAGATGAATTAGCCTATTTTCCACGAATCTGTGGTCTTCCGTTGTACACGTTGTTCTGAGACACCCTGTATATGTAATAAAAGGTTTAACATTTCCGAAAAAAACCGCGTGACAAAAAATATCCTTTTTTTTAGAAGAAATGGGGAAAAACGAAAAATTCGACATTTCAGATTGTTTAATATCTAAACGTAATACTAATTAAAAGAAAGCATCCAATATTTCGGAGCTCGTTTAACATTTCATTATTCCCCTGAAAGAAGCAGCAGAATTACTGAAGTTTGCTGTTCCGCATTTTGGCGAAGTATTAATATGTTCTGTGAAATACCAATTTAAATTTTTCGCTTGGATATGAAAATGCAAATGGCCATGTGCCGTTTTAAACTGCATTTGATGTGGCTGCGGGGAATACGTACCGGACCGTATAGAGCGCTCCGCTCGTTTTTATTTTTGTGAGCCAAACTCCATTACAACTATGCACTTTAAATGCATCCGCGCCTACAAAATGCATTAGCGTCTGTTAACTGCTGATAAACAGATTATCAGAGGATTAGGCGCCGGACAGCGTGTGAGGCAGCTCGATAGGATTTGTCTCTGTTTTAATTGACAACGAAATGGTCCAAACCAGTAGTAATCAAACTACGACCAGCGGTCTTAATCTGTTCTCCAGTGGATGCACAGAGCTACGACGAGCCCTTACGGATTTTCTTAACTGAATCTAAAATCGGCTATCATTAATGTTATACATACAGGGTGTATCACGAAGAGGACCCAGTAGGATTATCTCAAAAAGTAGTCATAATTGAAATTTGAAAATTTGTATACAGGTTTTTTTTTATGTTTATCAAAAAGATTTATTGAATGAAAATAGTGTCAACTTTCTCGCACTTCCGGTTATGCTGGAAGTCATCGTCAACTCTGTCGTTTCAAATGTAACACTATATTTATGCATTTTTTTAATTCTGCCGCAAATTCTAGACTAATTTCATATAAGTTACTATATGCCAAAATGAGACAGTTTTCAAGTTATTATCAATTTTCGAAAAAAATTGAGGGATGTAAGTAAGTGCTTTTGAAACTAGAATAACTCCGACATTTAGCTTTATTTATTAATGAAATTTAGCATGGATAATTTAGAAGCAGTGGAATTCAACCAGTTTATGTCATATTTGCAAAAATTCATAGTGTGTTTGAAAACGTGTGGCTAATATTGTGACGTTCAAGTTGAATTTACTCAAAAATTTAAAATGAAACACCCTGTATATTATTACATTAATGGATGCAGAATTAAATTTACTTTAAAATTATACTATGGTTCCCCATACCCAAAGTCAACCGTTCTTTTGTGTAAATTTGAAATTATTGATTTCAAAACAGAAAAATCTACGGTGGATTTGATGCATTAAAGAACTGAATAATAAACGGTGACTATTTAATATACTGAATTATTGTTTTTGATGAAGGTATAACGATAATAAAAATTACAGTTTATTAATCAAAGATTTGGATTCAGTAACCCCAAAAAACATAAGATTATATATTTACTTTGTTGGCAATTGATTGTCTACATTTGACCTTGAACTAGCATTAACCCAGAGCTGATCGGATCACAACGGACACCGGATTCGGATTCAGCAACCCCAAAAGCTTATAGATACCAAGGTCTTGTCTTTCAGACCTTTTTTGTGGAGTTGAGTTATTGTATGTTTATATTGTATCTATACATACAACTTAACTGATCTTGTAGTTCCATTATAAAATTGTTTAAATTAACTTTATTTCGTATTTTTTTGATTTATGATAACGAAACTTGTTTTAACCTTAGAGCCCTGAAGATGTAATGAAATCCTTGAAATGTCGACAAAATGTAATAGTATTTATTTGTTATGACCTAATGCCGATGAAAAAATAAATAAACGGCACATATTGGCAGATGCCAATCCTTTTTTTTAAGGAATATTTTAAAATGTAGCTTTATGTGGAATTTCAACATAAATTTTCTCTGTCAATTTTTTACATTTAAAATAAAAAGTAGGAAAATAAATTCAAGTCTCACCGAATAGCACGCCTCTTATCCAAAAAATTTTGGTGTTAAGATACAGTTCTGGTTATTTCTGACATAATATCTTCTTGATTTCGAGTTTGTAAAATCCAGCAAGCCTAGGAAATTTAGAAAAATCTGATTTTTGCGTCGGTAGAGTGCCATTTCTGTATGAAGTATAACAAAATATCAGAAAACAATAAATTGTTGTTCTTGCGAGTGGGTTTTGCTAACTTTTGAACGTTAATTATGTATTAACGTTGCAACTACACAAACTTTTATATGAAGTTTATAAGCAAAAAAACAGAATTAAAGTAAATGAGCAATATCTATAATAGGTACACTACCTTCGTCTCATAAAGAGATGAAAGTTATATACTTTTGAAGAACGTGTAATATCCTCTACAGTTCATAAATACAATAAAGCTTAGGACATTATTGATACGCAACATGTTTTTGCTGTTGCATTATTTTGATCAGGAACATAACATAACAAACAATTTATAAATTAGACATGCTGCAAAAACAGCTAACATTTCTTCATCTTCTTCCAACAAGCTCTCATAAAAGGGAAGAATCCTCATTTCTTTATTAATATATCAAACATTAAAAATTGGCAAGATCCAAAATTTCTTTAAAACTACACTCAAAAGATCAATATAACAATTTAGAATAATATGATCGTGTTATTAGTAATATGTTGACATTTAAAAGTATCATTTAATGACTTTTTGATCTTTACTTAATATTTGATAATTGCAATGTTAATACAATATTTGATAATAGTACCTAATTACAAAATACCTATGAAATATTTTTTGGTTTCTTTATAATCTATTTATTTGCTTTATAGCTGTGAGTAATTAATGTTAACTCTCAGCGAACAGGTATTTTGTGTTTAAAGTAAAAATTATGTTAACTAATTATTGTTTTTCTATTTCAGGTAAGCTACAACAGAATACGTTTCAATAGCTGGTAAGTAACTTGTTAATGTTATTCGTGTCTCTAACCGGAAGTAAAAATATGGTTAGTGATATTTCATTTGATAATTTACTTCCGAGAACTATGTATGTTGCATGAATATAACGAATTTAACAGATTTGTTATTTATGACAAATTTAGAATCTCTCAATCCAAATTGTAACTTTCCTACGTCAATAAATTTTATGTTTCAAACAGTTTAATTTGTCAAACGTCATTTAATTGTGCCCTCATTGAAATCATACTTAATATGCTTCATCGAATTTTTAGAAAATTGCTACTGTTAATGTTATTTGAAGTGGTTACTTTTGGTTAGTACACTCTCTATTAAGAACAAAATGATGTATCGAATTGTTGATATTGCCCACAGTTTTAAGCAGAGTTCGTAGCCACAGGGCAGCGCGGTCAACGCCTTCAGATCCAAGAATGCGTGTCTCAAAAAGAGACAGTTTGTTACTTGAACTATCATAATAGGGTAAAAAGTAGTAAATGTCACTAAGTAATAATAATAAATGCCTAATAGGTAAGAACTGATGGCGTCGATCACAATGCCCCCTGAACCCTGAAGGCATACAGACGTCAATATTTTTGGGCAAACGTCAGGCTTATTTTGACTTATCTGATAGCACAGCTTGTAAAACTAATGGTTTTTCTAGTAATAATTTAGTAATTCCCTCATTAAAAATTATTCATTCATCATGTCATGTAATGTCCCCAAATGATAAATCAAAAGAATTAAACTGTATATCAAGCTCGTCTAGACATCTTTAAATTCGAGTGTAAAAATTTAATCATAGTCAGCATGATAAAATCCCGCCAGATTTATCGCTACTAGCTCCCATGAAAGGTGATGAAGGACCGATAGTGTTTCGTAGAAATTAATGCCCGTTTTTCCAAGCCTCTTGCTTTTTATCGGCCGACCACTGGCGGGAGATCAATTTGCGGATCCCCAGGAAGAAAAATCCGACTAATCTCGGCCATATATAATCAAATCTAGTAAGTAACTGATCCTATACTTCTGGTTGGCGCTCAACTTTCGAACTCCCGGCGATTTGTTACCTATCTGTCGCGAAGGATGTTTTTCTTTTAGGAGCGAATTTCTTGACCAAATGGAAACGTCATTCAGGGATTTATATTTCAGAGCATTCTATATTCCGTGCCTCCTTCGAACGGTCTGTCTAATGTGTCTGTCCCAGTTTCAACAATTATATTTTGAATGCAGATATTTGTTTAAATTACTATGTACAACAAATTATATTGCAAAAAATAATGTGATAAACTCAGTGTTAATAGTCCACAAGATATGAAAAAATATCCAATGAAAAATGTATTTTAAAAGAAAATTAGAAGTAATTTTTGTTTTAAAATTGATTGAATGTAAAATATGTTGTAGGTACCTTCTTTAAATACCAACACGGGCAGTGAAAGTTTTAAACCACTAAGCGAACATTTATAATTCAAATGGTTGCCTGGGTAACTTTAACAGTTAAACATATTTCAAAACAGAATACATACAAAGTAATTTTATTTATTAATTTTGGTTATTAAGGCCACTACTATACTTTATTTAAAAAATTTTAGATATTTAATGGTTTAAAAATAATGAAAAACTAATCAAAAATATTTTTTATGTAAATTAGTTTTATTGAAAATAATTAATACAGTTAAAGGATGGCATCACTCATTTTACTTAATCAGAACAGTTGCTATCTTCATCGGAATCACCAAAAACGTCTTCTTGGGTATTTCTTTGACTAGAAAGGACCTTTATATTTTCCAACATGGACCGAGCATTTATCTGGCCAGTTTCCTGCTCCAAATCGTTCAAGCAGAATGGAGGAAGAGGCGGAGGGGGAGGAGCTGGCAAATTTGGCACTACTTCAGATTTTGTATTCTCTTTTACAAATTCACTTCTTACTAGGGCATGGTCTTGTTCTAAATTGTCTCTGAGTTGGTTTAAGTTAAATTTAGGTGGCGACTGCTTTTGCGCTTTCGAAAGTCTCGTTTCCAATTCCATCTCGTCTTCATCTTCGTCTCCTCTTTTATTCTTTGCCTCTATAAATCTTTCGTGTTGTTTTAACGACTGTTTCAATTCCTGAAGCATTAGACTGAGGTAAGCACTCGAGTGGTCTTCATAGTCTGGTTTTGGATGCTCATCAATGGGTTCTTCGGCCCCGATATAAAGCTCGAATTTTTCATCGACAGGTTCAGAATCATCATCATAACTTACTGTAGGAACTGTTTCGGAAGAGATGGTATTCATTTTCGATGTTCTGTTAGCTGCTTCAGCTGTCTGATTGACTGTAGCATTTGAAAGTATTCCATAAAGTCTACAGAGGAGATCTAGGGATTCGTAAGTGGCAAACGTATGATTTCTTAGATCTACAAGAGCATTGCCAATGTGTGGTAAGTCCTTTTCAGTTTTATTTTCCAACTTGTCCAAGACAATTTGTGATTTCTCCAATATAACAGATAAATTGTTTACTGAAGAAATCAGTGTTGCTTCCAGTTTTGTAGATATACTTTTACGTTTGTTCATTTCGCTTTGTAAATGAATTTCTGATTTCTTATTAGAAGAATGTCTTAGGAAAAGAAACTGCTTTTTTGTGGTATCGTGATAATGCTCTAAAGTTTTTACTATATCATGTAATGTTTCGTTAATTAAAGTGCTACAGCTGTGTTCACGTAAAGTTGTAGAGTTAAATAATATTCCTATATAACTTATAAGCTTAGAAAAAATCAGTACATTTATATCATACACTTTCTGAGTACATGATAGACAGTCTTCTGTGTCATAAAAATTTTCGCTTTCGAATATATTGGAATAATTTAAATGCTCTAAACTTTTAAAATCTTCTTGTAATTCGGGAGAGTATGTTGTAAAGGTGTTTAAATTGTTAGATAAAAATGTAAGTATATTACTGTTGGTTTGTAAAAATACGTTCATAAATTCTCCTACGTTCTTGCCATGCAGAACCAACGAACTTTTATCTGTCTTTCCTAAATCATACCTGGTTTTCATGTAACGTATAACATTTTTTGTAAATTTCTGCAATTTAATTATAACTTCCAATAGCCTATCAACCACTCCGACATTGTCTTGTTTTCTTTTTTCTCTTTTGTACTCGATGAGAGTGAAATATACTGAGGCTATAAAGGGAGGGATTACCAGCAAAGGCATTCTCAATTTTGTTGCTAGAAATGGTGCACTCAGAGCCGAGATTATACTCGCTAATAGACTTAACGATGGTCTGTAAGCGTTTCGTTCGGGGAAGTGTCTAAATTTAGAAATACTTAAAAGAACTTCTAGGTCTTCGTCCAACAATAAGCCGGATTTTAAAATACTTTTTATGTAGGAATCAATCAGCGGTCCGTAGTATTCGTGGTCGCATAAGCTGGTGGGATTTACTTTCCAAGTTGCAGTCACTGAAAAGAAACAAATTATGATAGTTTTAAGATTTTAAACTATTTCGTTTATTTTTATTGCAGTAAATTTTAAATCAGACCGAGGCAGACAAGATAAAAGATAATGGAAGAAGAAAATGGAATTTGAAATAAGTTGACTTTTTAGAAAGCACTTATTGCAATTTTTTCTCGAGAATGTTAATGTGTATAAATATTTTAATACGAACATTTTCCAAATTATCCCGACATAGAGAGTGAAAAAAATACTCTTCTTTATAACTTCTCAACTAGGTACCTAATAGAAATGCGAATAAACTTAACATTGTTTTCCTGTGGCTAAGACTATAAAAAAATAATAATTGCTTTCTTCTTCAAAAGAAGAGAGAAATTGCACCAAGAAAAAATCTAATTTGCCATGGAACTATATATTAACATCTCAAAAAATATTAAAACTTATCTTTCATTCAAAGTTGGAAACTTCACGGAATAATATGTATCATTTTATTCTGTATTACCTTTTATGAAATTAATTAGCGATTTAGTAACCATGTCTCTATCATTGGTTGCTTAGGGGACCTCGATGTTATTGCCACATATTAGAAGTTTACGAAAATTTACTCCGAGTGCTTTCTATTTCTATCTTTATTATTCATACTGTTTCTAAGAGAATGATATGTCTAGACCAGTGGTTCTTGACCTGGGGTCCACCATCTCCTCCCAAGGTGTTCGTTTTTAGGAACATTTAATAACTAATAATAACTAATTAAGAAAATTTACGTTTGATGCCGAAATTTCAAACCCATTTAAATTAGAAATTATATCTAACTGGGGGGTCCTCAATAAAAAAAAATATATTGAAGGTCTGCAGTAAACAAAAGGTTAAGAACCGCAAGTCTAGATCATTACGAATAAATGTTCGTAAACCTCTATTAAGCCAACCTATCTAAATAAGATGTTGCACTTTTGTACTCAGTTTGTAATAGAACTATTTCCATCATTTATTATTCGATTTGATAATACATGACGAAGGTACACTGAGCGCAAAACTTCAGATTCAGTCAAAATTGCTATTAGAATATATTCATTAGTTTGTATGTATGTACAAATGTAAAAAATAGTTTTTTTAACTTTCTCCATTTATTTTAAAATGGAAGCATATTTGGAAAAATTTTGGTATAAGAAACCCTAATTTTCAAAAGGTCCATGTTAAATTTGACTATGCAGGGTGATATATATAGGGTGTTTCTTTATACGACTGCCAAACTACTACAGGTCTAAAGGTAACTAATTGATGATGTTTTTATTTTCTTCTAAACTATCTGAAATATTACTACACGTTGTTGGCTGTTAATAATTAATTGCTGTACAGCTACCTTAATTTAAAAATATGTAGATTTTCTCTATCGGAAAATATATTAAGTTCTGACTCTGTAATTAGTTTTTTTATTATGAAAGAGGTGACGGTAATTGAAAAAAGTTGCTAAAATACACGGCCTTTGTGTAAAATTAAAATGTATGTTATCACATTACAAATAATTCCAATGACTGCACGTAAGAATAAATACACTAAAGCTGATTATGTATTACATATTAAAAAAATGATAATTTGTTTGTTAATTTTATTTACTATGTAAGTATTTATAATACGTTAGAAGTTTTAAATACCCAATGTAGTGTCTCAAAATATATTTATCTATTAACATCAAAAAAACACCAAAATCACAGCTGTATTTGATGTGTTTATCTTAGTAATCATTGTTACGTTTCTTTACGATTTTCAATTTTACTCGACAGTGACCTAAATTAAAATGGTTCTATGCATCACATTTTGTTTAACTCTACAGGCTGTTACAAATTCGCTTCTTACTGCAGGGATCTCGGAAACGGTAAGAGCTGGGGCCAAAGTTGCGTAATCAGGGGACCAACATTATGCCTCTAAAAAACCAAGGCTAACATGATTAGTTTTCGAAATATTTCAGCCTTGTTTGAGGTGATATTAAAAAAAATACTCTCTCATGGCCACTGTTTGCTCTCTATCGAATGGCATAATCAATTTTTGTATGTAACGTTTCGTCTCTCCAGGACCATTAACTTCATTTTTTTAAATACGACCCTGGAAATTTTATTACATTTTTTGCAAGCCTTCATGATCCCTCAACCCGAAACAGATTCAGACGTTTTGATTCGAAAAATTAATTTTCAGGGTATTCGTTTATCTAAATTTTTTATTTAGATTCCTTTGTTTATTGAATTATCGTACACTCAGTCTCGTTAGACCCTGTGAAATCCATCTAGTAATTTAAACTACTACCGCCAATTTTGTTTATCTTTGTTACAAACATAATATCAACCTGTTATTCAATTGTTTTTGCATACTTTATATAAAAAAATGAATAGTTTGATAAAACTTCTGTTGCTACACATTTTTCTGTTTCTAAAAGACCACCATTGCGAGAGAAAGCTTTTTAAAAAATATAATGGACCGCCCTGTATTTAGATATTGTAGGCTAAAGTGCGGCTAAAATAAATAATTATATAATATATTAAATAACATAAACGTTCTATTACAAATCTGCAGTTTTGTCTTGTCTTGTTTTTTACAATACAGCATAAGCAGTTATAATATAACTAACTCTTCTGTAATTTCATTTAAAATATTACTGTTATTATCTCCTAATAACATCTTAATACAAGCTCTCCGAGCTCCCCCAAACATTTTGCTGTGTAATTTAATCTCAATTTATTTTAGCAATAAACAGTATCAAAGCTATACTGTTACATTGACAGACTATATTAAAGGGTCTTCCATAATGAAATTATAATTTGCTCAAAGTAACGTGAGTTTCGATATGATTTGATATTGACTTCTAGGAGTGAGGTTAATATCTAGTTAATATTGCTTAAGCGATCGTAACAAGCAGTTGCTTCTACTAATCTTGAATACACGTTTACTTACACTGATTTGTATTCATTTTTCATTATAAAGTACGTATTTGTGACGAAATAATCACTTTTATTATTCTCGTATTGATTACATACACTACGAACATGGAAGAACAGCTGATTTCCCTTCCCTTGCTCGCGTCGGCAGCTCGACAGCGCTTGACCCCAAATTGTAGTGCGTTCGGATCTCACGCGACTGTTCGTTCCTCACTAGCGGATGCCGCGTTCATAATTCACAAATTCCCTTATACGTTTTTTATTAATTCTCATTTAAATTTCACTTATGTTTTAATGAAACGTTGAAACATGAAAGCATCATAGAAAGTGGAACTATTTTTTATAACTGTAGAATTATTAATGTCTGGATCATTGCACAATATTTTTTTTTTTTTACTAACACCACAATGGATAAAATCAAGAATGCCATGGACCCAGTGCATATGTATGCATATAAGTGCATGATAATATGAAATGCATATAATTTAATATGAAAAAAGTGCTACACTATAAAAGGTGTACTATAATAATAAACCCAACGTATTCTTTACAAAAGACATTTTTTAAATAAATTTTTCTTATAAATATGATCCGCAATAAGTAATTTGACCTTAATGTAGTTCATTCTGTAGGGTATTCTCAAAGATAATGATAAAGATAATGTAAACAAGGAAATATCTAATAATAATCAATTTAAAGGAGAAAATATTGAAAAAGTACCTAGGTATCAAAACAGAACATCTATAATAAGGTACTCTGTTTTAGTGCAGGATCACTAAATAAACCAAAATTTTGTGGAAACTGTCAAAGCAAATATACGATATACAGGCTGCTACAAATTCGCTTCTCACTACAGGGATCTCGAAAACGGTAAGAGGTACAAACTAGCTTAAATGGGGGCAACGTTGCGTAATCAGGGGACCAACATTATGCCTCTAAAAAATCACGGCTAACATCATTAGTTGAAATATTTGAAAAAAACGAAATTTTGGAAATCCGTTTTTGTTAAATTTCAGCCTTGTTTGAGGCGATATTGAAAAAAGAAGAACACTTTCTTCTAGCCACTTTTTGCCCTCTATCGAATGGCATAATCAATTTTTATATGTAACGTTTCGTCTCTCCAAAACCATCACCAACTTCATTTTTTTAAATACGACCCTAGAAATTTTATTACATTTTTTGCAAGCTTTCATGACCCCCAATACTGTACTGCCTCAGCCCGAACCAGATTCAGACGTTTTATCTCGAAAAATTCATCTTCAGTGTATTCATTCCAAATTTATCTAAATTTTTTATTAAGATTTCTTTGTTTATTGAATTATCGTACATTGTAAGTGTCGTTAAACCCTGTGAAATCCATCTAGTTATTTAAACTATTACCACCACACATTAAAATAAAAAATTATTACATTCCTCTGTCCATAGTCATTTCTAGGCTTCTCGAGTGCTATATTTTTTTATTTTCAGGATATTCATACAAATACATCTGACATGCTCTTTCATAGTTGCGGTTACAGGTATAATAAATTCCGATAATATTACGCTGATATTCATTTTCAACCTTTGCCAAAACGAAAATGATTTTGAACATTTACTGAAATTTTTTAAAGAATTATATTCAGTTGGCGTTTTGGTTGTTCATATGCATTTTTAAGAATTAATTTGTCATAATAAAATTAAAATTGTAATAATGTTTTAATTTTGACGCAACAACTTATTAAGGTATGTGTGACCAAGTGATGGTAATAGTTAATAATAATAAATGTGTTATTGCAACGCGTGTTGGTAATAGTTTAAATAACTGGATTTCACAGGGTCTAACGACACTTACAGTGTACGATAATTCAATAAACAAAGAAATCTAAATAAAAAATTTAAATAAATTTGGAACGAATACACTGAAGATGAATTTTTCGAGACAAAACGTCTGAATCTAAAGCAGTGCAGTATTGGGGGTCACGAAGGCTTGCAAAAAATGTAATAAAATTTCTAGGGTCGTATTTCAAAAATGAAGTTGATGATGGCCCTGGAGAGACCAAACGTTACATATAAAAATTGATTATGCCATTCGATAGAGGGCAATAAGTAGCCATGAGAAAGTGTTCTTCTTTTTTCAATATCACCTCAAACAAGGCTGAAATAAAACAAAAACGGATTTCCAAAATTTCGGTTTTTTCAAATATTTCGAAAACTAATTATGTTAGCCTTGATTTTTTAGAGGCATAATGTTGGTCCCCCGATTACGCAACTTTGCCCCCATTTAAGCTACTTCGTACCTCTTACCGTTTCCGTTTCATAAATGTTTACATGCTACGACGTGACAACAGAGTTTAGCTAACCAACATTACACGGCTGGTACTGGTAACAAAAATTCCCTAAATCTTGACGTCACCAATATTAATGATTCGTTTACAATGAACAATGACAAACTGTTACGTCTATGTCCGTGATAAAGCGGTCGCTGACGGGTTGATAGAATTTCGTGAAAAAATACCAATTATAGCCGGTGAAACAGAATGCTGTGTTTTAATGTAACCTTGGTCTTGTTCTTTTAATAATTTTAAATTTTACCGAAATTTAATTGTCAACATAAAGAAAATAAAAGCTTTGTAGAACCAGAATCGCACTTATTGGAATACGGAAGTATATCCCACTAGATATCCTAATAGTCCAGACGGTATGTGTTTCAAAAAGCCATATTTGGGTGAATCGTCTATCCACGGAGATTTTTGGCTTTTTGGCTTTCAAATATCACTAAAAATGAAAATTTTTCTATGCGCATAAAAAAAACGTGGGCTTAACTTTTGGCGGCATAATATGTTAAAAAAAATTCGAAAAATGTCATATTTTTCTTCCTATTTAATTATGTATCTTTTCAAGAGTTGATTTTAGGCGAAAATGGAAGAGGAAAAAAATGTTTGCAATCAAATTTTTTACAAAAAACGTCAAGTTACAAATCGAATGAATCATGTATATTATGGTAAAAATTGAAAAAAGTTCTTGGAAAGACGCTTCTTTAAAAAAAAACAGAACGATTGATCAATTGGTTACATAGTTATAGCCGATTTAATTTCGAGCAGGCCGAAGAGGCCACACTCTCTGTTTCCCCCACCACCACCACCCGTACGATTTTATTGAATTTCTCGCTTGCATAAAAAACTCTAAACACGTTTTAAAGTAGGCTGCCAATGAAGAAAAGTATTATAATCTTAGACCTGGTAAGTACTCGGAATACCAAAGGTATTTTTTCGAAAAATTAGCCCGGATGTCCCAGTATATTTAGTGTAAATGACGGCTATAACTATGTAACTAATTGATCAATCGATCTGTTTTTTTACTTTTAAAACCTGCTTTAAAAAATTTGATTTGATTGAATATTCACAATGTTCTAATTGTTTATAAGTACAAAAATACGACCAATGTTTAAACAAGCGCCAGAGCTCTCCTAATTGACGGATTTGGATTTTTCAAAAAAAAAGTTTGAAATCTTGAGAGCCCTTCTATAAGCGATTAAATTTTCAAGTATCTAAGGGCCTTGGTTTTTGCTGTGCAAAATTTTGAAAATTGGCAATTTTTTTTTTCAAAATCTGGATTGCAAAATTATTATGCAAAATCTATCGAACCGATTTTGATGAAATTTGGTGTGATAATTCTACGTAACATGAAGTTTCTTTGGGCCAAGTATAAAGGTACTATACCCAATTTAAATACCCCAAAAAAAAATCCCTAAAAAGTATTGTTTTTAACCGCATTTTTGCGATTTTTTCGATTTTTACCATAATAAACATGATTCATTCGATTTGTAACTAGACATGTTTTGTATAAAATTTAATTGCAAACATTTTTTTCCTCTTCGATTTTCGCCTAAAATCAACTCTTGAAAAGATACATAATTAAATAGGAAGAAAAATATGACATTTTTCGAATTTTTTTAATATATTGTGCCGCCAAAAGTTAAGCCTACGTTTTTTTTATGCGCATAGAAAATTTTCATTTCTAGCGATATTTGAAAGCCAAAAAGCCAAAAATCTCCGTGGATATACGATTCACCCAAACCAAAACAGATACCGCCTGGTCTATAAGGATATATTTCGATCATGTTTGTTGCTCTTTGTATTACCTACTTAATCAAAATGACTGAAAATCAAATATGACGGTTTTTTATTTTGATTATCTTCCGTAATAGAGATGAAAGAGATCATACAATATTTAATATATTTTTATTTACGTCGCCCGCCGTGTCGTGTTGAGAATATTAAACCAAGGACTACCAAAATCTACGAAACGATTTAAAACACATTTATCAACAAAATGATACACAAAACCTAAACTACAACATTTGCAGTGTAGTTTGAGAATGTAAATAATTACCTACTGTTTGCAAAACTTCCAAACCGTTAAATCGGGACTATATTAGAAATTGAGAATTTGAGAAATTGAAAGTATGTGAGCATGTATGGCAACAACACAAAAATTTTGGAATAATATACTAATCGGATAAAAATAAGTCTAAAAAAGTGCGCGTTTATTTTACTGAACGGTAAAAAACGTGTTTCAAATCCTTCATTAAGTTTTAAGAGTTGTTGGTTGAACATGTATTTTCAATTACGAGATAAGTAATAATTGAACAAATATTTGAAGCGTAATTTGTCAGATCTGAGAGCATTGATCGCAATCCCCTTTGGATTCTGATAGCCTATGAACGTTAAAATTCGTTCAGCCCCTACTTTGATTTATCTGTAGCGTAACATATAAAATCAATGACGTTATATCTTATGAAAGGTTGATAAACAAAACAATAAAAATGTCATCAACAAATCACATTTAACTGTCAGCTATTTTGATTAAAATTTCGTCAATGAAAGTAGAGAAATATTTTGCAAACCTTGACAATTTATCGTATATTGTAGTGCTTTAACATGATGGTGAAAAACTGCTTCATTACGTCATCTTGTGATCAGGCAAACTAAATTAATAAAACTAATTCCTTAACAGATCCATTTGGCGCAATGAGTTACTTAAGCTTTTTTTTATTTCCAATGCAGCAGAAATGCCAAATTAAATGGAAAAAGTAATCAAACAAATCCACAAATAAATGGTTAACGA